TATAATGATATCAACTTTGCAATATTTTTTATTTAAAAATATAAAATTTTTTGGTTTTTAAATTATACTATTACCATTTAATTCTTTCTAAATAAATATATGAATTTTGTGAATTTTTTATTTAAGGATTTAGTGTATCCATGACTCATAAGCCATGAGTCACGTTATCACCACCATTCAATAAATTCTTAAATTAAATAAAAAATAAAAAATTTATATCATAATTTAAAGAAAAATTAAAGTTAGACAATATTATTTGGAAACAATTTTTCTGTTCAAAAAAAAAAAAAAAATTGGTGCACTCCGAAGGTTGAATCTACAGCCACCTCATATTCCAATTTAGGCGAGGCAACTTTCCAAATTCCGTAACTCCAAGGGTACAAGCCTTAATCTCAAGGGCCCATGCAAGCATGTAAACTCAATTATGACATCCTTTTAGAGATGGATTGTTTTTACCACTAATTTTGTTAGAATTATTAAAATTATTAAAATTTTATTATTAATAATTGATTATTAATAATTGATAAAACAATTAATATGTATTATTTAATATATTAAAATTAATTTATAAATAAATATTTTTAAATATTATAATTATTTAAAAAAATTATAAATAGAAATTTATAATCTCAATAAAATTAATGGAGTTATAGCCTCTTTCTACTGCAGGACAACGTGTTAAGCTCATTTACGAACTTCAATGATTTCCGACTTCAACTCACGAAGGAACGAGTAAGTGGATGAGTTCACAAAAGATTTTTTTAGTTTAATAAGATATTTTAATTTCAAGGCCTGAAAATGCAATTCTATTAAAATTTGTGAGGGAAAGTTTTATCACCCATTAAATCTTACTCGATTCGAATCTGAATTAATTGGTGATCCAGTAAGATTTCAGATCCAAACAAAAAAAATAAAATAAAAAGATTTCCGACTTCAGTCCCTCCCTTGATTCTGTTTTTACCTCATCATGTACCGATCACTGAGCACTCCTTCCTTTTTCTTCTGATCTAATCAAACACCAACAACTCCTTTAAAAAAAAAAATAAAGATTTTTTGCTATTCAGATTTTATTAAAAACGGATTATTCATATTAAAATAAAGAAATTTATAAATAATTATGTTTTAATAATTT